TTTAATCAAAAGGCAGGGTTTGGAACATCACACTAGGAAAATGAAGACAGAGAAATCCTGGACACCTAGAGTTTTGGTGGTTGAACTAAATTGCCAATGTGTTCATCTTTCTCAGAAAAAAAAATCACAATCTTAGGCTTTGCACAGCCAACTCCTGCCATCAAAAATACCATAAACAAGTAGATATTGATTATGCTATTCATTGGATTCAGAAGGCAAAGCAAAAAATTTTTATGAGTAGATTGCAGGACTCCAGATTGCTAATTTCTTTATCCTGGCCTCAGGCATAAACTGACTCATCCTGGTCTTAACCCTGTGAGTCAGTCCCATGTTCATAATGGCAGGATCAGACATGAGATCAGAATGAGACATTTGAGTCCTGTGGGTGACCCTAGAGAATGACTGTTCTCCTGGGTTTCTGGGTAAAGGTTTATATGTAAGCAGGGAAAAGAGCCATCATTCCAGACAAAAATAGAGACAAAGGTCTCTATTTTTCACTCCCACTTTGTGTCACCACAGCAATTTGTGTATGGCTTTATTATAACATAGTAGGTGATAAATTATAGGGTCCCTTTCTACTCAACTCTGTAATTGTCACAAACTCTCAAGACCTGGTACTGCTCAAGTGTTAGCATTTAGTTTCAGGATATATGTTACTATGTTTTTAACTGAATGAAAGCATGGAAATGAAATCTAGCCTTCATAGTTTGTTGTCTTTCTTCTACTAGACTTTCCAGTTACTTATGACAGTAATGACAATATCAGCACATCCCCTTATCCACAGGGGGTACATTCTAAGACCTGGGATGTTTGAAACTGTTGATAATGCTGACTCCATATATATTGTTTTTTTCCTTAAATGCACAACTGTGGTAAAGTTTGATTAAAAAATTATGCACAGTAAGAGATTAATAATAATAAAAAGTTATAAAAATATACTCTAACAAAATTGCCTGAATGTAGACTTTCTTGTTCTCAAAATATCTTATTGTACTGTGCTCGTCCTTCTTCTTATTCTATAAGATGATTGGCATTGTGATGTAGTCATAGGGCATTATATAAAAGTCACTTGACCATGAGCACTGTACTACCCCCACAATAGTCAGCCTGGTAACTAAGATGGCTATGAAGTGACTAATGGGTGGGTAGCATCAGCAGCACAGTTCACAGGATAAAAATATGCCTTGTGTTCTAGGATGGATGGAGCAGGATGGCACAAGATATCTCTCTCTACTCAGAACAGCAGGTTATTTAAAATCTGTGAATTGTTTATTTCTGGAATTTTGAGTTTGAAAACTTTGGTCTATGGTTGTCCATGGTTAGCTGAAATTTCAAAAAGTAAAAGAAATGAGAATAAGAAAGGCCTACTGTGGTAGTAGGTACAAGTATAGGTGTGCATAGAAATGCATAAAGCCTGACTTGCAAACCCTCTTGTCAGTGGCACATGAACTCTGTTCACCCAGGAAAATGGGCAGCTAATTCACACCTGCTTCTGTGGAGCTTTACTTCTGCCCAAAGAATAGGGCAGATATGTCCATAGAGGCTTAGGACCCCTCAGTTCACTTCAGTGTTCTCTCCCATGTGCTATTACCTCTTTATAGCCCTTTCTTGGGTTTTCATCCTCGCTTTTCTGAACCTTTATCTCAGCCTAAGTGGTCTTTGTAGTTATCTTTGATTTCCTCAGGCCATCTGTCATGTTGTCAATCAGACCTTGATTAGGGAATGCCAATCCTAACTGTAAAATGATACTTTGCTTCCCACAGGATGAAGTCTGAGTTCAGTGCTGTGGTTCTACCTTTAGCCTTTATCTTCAGGCTTGTCACTAACTATATTCTTCCCACACTCTCCTTGCTCCTAAAAGTCTCACCTTATTATTCACCTAGTATTTCTAATGTGCTTCTGCATTTTTGCATTCAAGTTTCCTTCTGTTTGGGATTCACTTCTCCCACATCTCTTCTTGGCTAAATTTCTCATCCTTTAAGGTCTTATTAATAGGACATCTTGTCTGTAAAGTCTTTCGTAATATAGCATGTTACCCTTTTCTATGTTCTCACAGCAAATGATTCATGACTCTATCACAGTATGTCAGGTGGTTCATTGTTTTTATATCTATTTCCTTTTCTGGCTGACATGATCTCCAATATAAACACAACTACTGATATTAAAATGCTACATTTCCTGGAAACTAATAAACTTGGGACCTCTCTCGCTTCCCAAGTAGCACAGATAACAAATAAAGATATCTTTCTAAGACTCTGAATAAACTTGTGAATGGAAAACTATGCAAAGAAGTTGGGCTAGAACCAAGACTTAGGGATTAATTCTAGAAAGAGAAAATTTTTTTCACTTGAGTTCCTGTGCTCTGGATACCTGAACCCTGGAAAAACATGGGCTCCAGGTAGTTCAACACTCTAGTAACAACACTTAGTACTGTGTTGTTTAAAGGTAGACAAAGCCTATAAGGAAGTCAATAGAATCTAAGCAAAAGCTCAAATCTATTTGTACTATCCTAGCTTTATCACTGACCGCCATTTATCTGTGGGCACATTTTAAGGTTCTTCTTTTGACTGGTGTGACATATTACTAGCTAACCTGATGTGTTGACTCCTAAAGGGGAAAATAAACTTTTAAAAGAACTTTGACTCTGCTTCTTTCAACAGGAAGCCTTGACTCTTTGTTGGTATGTGTGGACTCTGTTAATGCGTGATTTAGGTTTATTTGAATTTACAGCATCAATGGATCTGATTGAAAGGACAATGTTTTACACCCTAACTTTGATTTTATTTCATAGCTTCTGAGATGATAGCATTGTAACCGTCTATTTGGATGCTTAAGTATTGTAGATATTTCTCATGAAATAGGTATAGGAAACTTTCAATTGCAAATAATAACCACAAAGAGGATCATTTTTATGAGGGTGACTTCCAGCCAGTGGTTTGAGGTTCTTAATTCAGCTCCTAAAACAAGGTCCTCCCTCTTCTCCACAACCTCAAGGCTATGAATGGATAATGAATGCAATTGGAAAACAAAATAACAACAAAAAAGATTTACAATAAGAAAACTGCCTAGTACTTTATTCAGAAAATGGGGGCATGGTGGTGGTGGAGGAGACATATCTTATTAATAAAATAAGATAGCAAGAATTGCTCACCTCCTGTGGCAGTTTCAGCCTACTTTCATAAAACTTTGGAGATACCTTAGAAGTCAATATAGAACAAACAAAGCTGCTTGAATTATTAGCACAGTTAATTAATGATTGGTGGGTCCTTTGCTTTATCATGGGCAAAAACTTAAAAAAGAAATTTGGTTTTACAGAAGTCAATACTCAAAGTTCCTGGCCCATTCCAGAGACTGGGAACCTACCTAGAATGTCTAAAAAGGATTTGGGTTCAGGTTTTGATCATCTTAAAAGCTTGAAAAAACAATAATTTCTTTAAAAAAAATGACTAACAAGGAATTCACCCCCATTTTGCTGACTAGAAAGGAAAACTAATTGCCAACTTCTTCCATTAGCTGTCCCTGACTATTCAAACCCACAACAATCTTTTCTTTCCCTTAAAAGCTTTTGTCTTCTGAGTCACCACCACCTGGTTAAATATTATACTATATAGCTAAACATTTTTGAAGGAATAGTGTACCAGTAGTAACATAGCTCTGAGTTGAGAGTTTGAGCTCAGTGAAGTTGGATTCATAGATTGCCTAATTGGGTTTAAAGATAGTAATAGATATCACCTGCAGAGTGTTATATGAAGGCTAGCAATGTGGAAAATCTATGAACTTTGGGACAAGTAAGTAGAGCTCAAGTCCCTATGTAATATACAAATGTCTAAGCCCCATATTAGACATTAATGTCTACAGTATGAGGGCATGTTACTTGACTCTTCAGAGACTCAATTTTTTCATCATTCAAAATGTGTTGTAAGAATGAAATGTGATACTGTTTTCTAATTACAGGGTGCTTGAAACATAACAGGTGCTTAGTAAATGGAAAAAAAAACGAACCTAAATTTGGGTTGTGGAAATCAGGCTAAGTGTAAGGGGGAAAACAGGTGTTATGGATTAACTATATGGTAATGTCACTCTCCTAAAGGTACCCCAGGTCTGTTGAAGTGGGGCAGGCTTGAAAGTGAGTTGATGAAGTGAATGATTTCTTAAGATTCATTCCAGATCTGTTTCTAGGGAATACTGAGAATTTAACAGGAGACCTGGTTTCTAAATGGCTACTAAGCAAGCAATTTCACTTGATTTCATGCCTATAAAGTCCTATCTCAAATAGTCTCATCCCAATAGGCAGAAATACAAGTGAGGAGCTACTGTAAAGCAATAACAAAGGAAAATAAATAGGAAAGATAAACAAAAGGAGGAATAAAACACAAGGAAATCAAACACCTTAATAGGCCCACTTGGCAAAGCATAAACTAAAGCCACATGATGACAGAATTTTATTTTCATAAACATTAAATTCACTTTCAAACAATTTACTGCAAGGAATAGCCCAACACTGAGAATGACAAGACATCGATTACTAAGAGGCCAGATACTATAATTATCATTTGTTCAGAATGGAAGTCCACCTGTTTTTGACCAGTAAGAGCAAGTCTGTGAGCCTCATTTTTCTGGAGAATGTCACCAGGAAAGTGAGCAAGTTCATAAAGGTAATCATTCCAGGCAAAGAACTGTTTTAATCTGTAAGTTTGTGTAAGTGTAGGATAAGGGCTCACTAAAGCACTCATCCAACCAATCTTAAAGGCACTGTAGGCTCTCAATGGGAGGATTAACATTGACTTCTCTTCCCCGCTTTCTCTTCTATGCAGTCTCTTCTCAACTTTCACTAAGAGTAAATAAATTCAAAGCAGGTTTGCCTGTCACTCAGCATCATCATAAGTTATAGTACAGATTAGAACAGAAGAAGGCTTTTCAAGAGACTCATGAGTCAACAGCCAGGAGTGAAAGGGATGAAAGAGGAAGAGAAAGAACAGTTACAATTTCTACAGCCTCACCTTGCAGGAACACACAGAACACCTGTCTTCTCTCAGTGTCCACACCTGTCCATTGTGCTTCAAGCCTCCTTCATGGGGGCAGTCACCAGAGCAGGAGGGCCCAGAGGGACAGAGACAGTCAAAACCCCCTGCCAAGTTGATGCAGGCAGAATCATTCCAACAGGTGTGAGTTCTTAAGGCACATTCATCAATGTCTGTAATAAACAAAGCACAGAACTTTGGAATTTAGCCAAGGGAACTTAGAAAATAACAATAATTTCCAATAACATTAACTAACATTATTGTGCATTTACCTTGTGCCAGGTACTCTGTCAAGGTGTTCACATGCATTATCTCATTTACTCTGCAAATGGGAGGATCTGCTCTTGTCCCTATTTTGCAAATAATGGAGCTGAGGTTCATAGAATTAAATAACGTGCCCATTGTCAGCTAGTAGGTGGCTATCGGAGGCCAATCTAAAGCTGCCCGATGCCAATGACTAAACTATTTACTAGCAGCTATGAAATACCTTGCTTTAGGATATTGTCAAGAACTAGTGTATATAGTGGCCATAAACATTGTTAACTCATTAACTATGGATATGCCCCCTTTGAAACCTAGATGTTCTAGAAAAGATGAGCATAGTTAAGCCTCTGAGTAGAAGCAATTGGGCAATTAGGGAAACTGTGACCTGATTAGGCTTCCCCCATAATCCTGAAGTGAAGGCTTTGAAAGAGGTGGGAACAGTTCTTAGTAGGAGCCTTGCCTATCACAGCACTTACCCTATTAGCTATTTTGCTTCTTGCACACGCCCCCCAACACACATATCAAAAAATCAGAGCTATAGAAAGGAGTGATATGGCTGCTGATGAATGGCCTACAAATTTTGTGCTATTTTTACCAAGAGCCAAATATGGAAGGGAAACATAAGCCCATTTAGCCCATTCTGATGGTTAAAGCTTGAGTGACCTTAACAGCTCAAATACACATCTGTCCAGCCCTCTTCTGAGCCTTGTCTCAATAGGCAGTCACAAGGCAGCCAATTCTGACTTTGAATATCTTGTTTTAGAAATGTCTTCCTTAAGGCAAAGTGAAATATATTATTCAGTAACTTCTAGTCATTGGAAGTAGTTCTGAGGCCTCTCAAGAAAAAACTACTAGGTCTTTCTTTTTTATGACAATTTTTAAACTATTTGAAGGTACTTGTCATTTGTCTTTCAGAATCTTCTACTTCCCTGATTAATCCACTGCCAGGTCTGCAAATATCCAACTCAATTAGAATCTGACCTCACTCATCTTCTCAGTATCACTGCTTTTGCCCATAACATTCTTAATGCCTTGAACCACATGGCCTCTTTCTAGAAACCCCTCTTGTCTCCTCATTCTTCTTCCTCTACACTAATTCCTCCCAACCCAAATTAGCCCTGAATGAAGTCAGGAAAACCATGTTTGAAGCCAAATGCTTCCTTTTAAATGACTGCTTCTTGTGTACAAGTCATTTTACACATTACTAATGTATTCTCTTGACACATTTTTAGCCTCTCTACTTTTCCTTCCATATCTCTGTGAACCACATCACCCAATCCATGGTCTTTTGGAAATTGCAATATAGATAATAGAATATGGACTAACATTTTGTTGCTTGATTTAGTAAATATAAATATTTCAGACAAAGTTCAATCCCTACTTTTCAGTTAAGCAGTTCCAACATGATACCAATTCACAATAATGAATTACCTCTTTTGAATTCCTATTGCGATGACAGTAGAATATGGTTTAGAAGTTGGACTCAGATTACCTTGGGACAGTACTAAATAGACACATCTGCATTACTCTCACTCTTTACTTTTTTTTTTTCTGAAAGTAACTTAATTACAAATACTCAGTGTTATATGTCTCCTATTTATACATCTAGGAGATAAATGGATAGGTGAATTGATAGATAGATGATAGATAAACATCTCATATATAAACAAAATAATAAAATTCAGTTGCTTTCAAACTGTTGGTTCAGCTCCTCCATTCCTGGAAGTTATTGCATTAGCTTCAATCTGATCTCTTTGTCTCCAGCCACTTCTCATTCTAATGTACTGAATTTTGACTGTGGGAACAGTGGAAACATTTGGAGAGCCTTATTAAAAAAAAAAAAAACAGCATTCAAGCTTACCACTACTAGGCATTAATTTAACTGGTGTAAAGTAGGATCCAGATATTGAGGCTTTGTTCAATCAGATGAACAAAGAGCAATGGTTTTGTTCTCAATATCTTCCATGAAACAGAAGTATTTAAAAAGCATAACTGCTCACGTCACTCCTCTGCTTACCATCCCTCAGTATTTCTCTAATGGTTGTAATATAGAAAGTTCAAGCTGTCTGAATATAACATAAATCCCTATTAACACTTCAATTGCTATCTTTTGTCCTTCCTCTTTTTACTCAAAAGCACCGAAGATGAAGTATCACTTAGAAAGGAGGAAAAAGTTCAAGAGACCTATTGTGCAACATGGTGAGTATAGTTAAATGAGCATGGTATTCTTTTTTGTAGCGAAAGTGGCAGTTAAGTTTTTAGGAGAGGAATTCACTTTCAATAAATTGAAAGCAGGTCATCTGTAGAAAGAGAGAATGAGAATGACTTGCAAATATTGTATTCTTGAAAATTACTAAGGGAATATATTTTATCACTGCAAAATGATAATTGTGTGAGGAAATGTATATGTTAACTTGATGTAGACATTCCACAATGTCTAAAATACACTTCAAAATATCATGCTATACCTCATATATATGGGATATAGTTTTATATATATATGTATACATATATATATACATGTATTAAAAACAAAGGAAGATTATAAACAGACCGTGTGGTTTTCCATGTGTATAACTTTGAATTATTATAAGACTATTCTCTCTTTCTTTATCTTGTTTTTATTAACCTATATGAATGAAGTGGGGTATAGATTAATGAACTGGCAAGCACTGCTCTTACTCTGATACAATTACTCCTCTGTCACCTTCAAAATCCAGATTAAGCACCACCACTTTTTATTCTGCAAGGCAGCCACCACTGACTTTACTTTCTCTGTATCTTATGCAGTATCTTTCTCTGTTATCTTTACAGTCAATCTAAGCAGTTACATTTTTAATATGACCATCATGATAGACAATGATCTCACTAAGGGCAGGAGTAACTTTTCTCTTTTTCATTCCTGCACCAAAAACAACAGAAAACACTGTGGGTGATCAATGTACTTATTTAATTTAGCTTACCTAAATCCAGGAAATTCATATACTAATACTATTATAAAGCCTAATTTGCCAACATTTGTTTTCTAGAGTATTTGATAGCATAAGGTGTAACCACAAGCTTGCCCTTTAGAGAAAACATTTTGTTATTGAGTTCTAATCTGTGAAAGCCCTTGGATCTAATTTAAAATAGAACAAATACAGGAAAATAATAACCACACTGAAATAAGAAAGCAATCCCCCCCCAAAAAAAAAACCATTGTATTTTCCTGTCAAATACTTCTCCAAGGCATGAAATACCCACTAACAAATCACTTCGGAAATTGTCTGGAAATGTAATTTCAACCAATCCATTACCAGTGGCTACAAAGGATATGTAATTTATGATCTCATCTAAAATAATCTCTAAATTGGCAAGTAATGCCTAAGCATAATATGCTTTTCTAATATTTGGTTATTTTGCATTTGCAAAGCTGCAAACCTTTTGGCACTGTTTTCCTTTTGTAAATTAAAAAAAACCTAAAGACAAACATACCTAGTGCACACAATAAAAACAAGGTGCAAAACCGGAATTTGCTCTCCAGAATGAAAGGATTTCACAATTGAATATGGACCATATTGCCTACAGAGTTCCATGTAATTGCTTTACTTATGACACAGAAATCTAATTCTGCTTCCATGCAATTTAGCAGATTTATGGAAAGCCAGATGTTAGCAATTATGGAAACCGACATTATTCATATTCTTGGTAATACAGACCTGTTTGCTCTGCACAAAGCCAACTTAATCTATTATACATATCCCAAGGCATCTGAAAGGAAGAGGCACCCTATTTACATATTGCAACTGTTGTTCTCTGCTGAACAAACACAAAGATATTCATCCATGAGAGTTACCCAAATCATCAGACAGGCTTCCCAATGGCAAAGAAGCAATGAAACAAAAAATCAGGCAAAGTATTCCTTACTCAAATCTATAATCATTACAGTACAGTTGTTTTTTTCTTATTGTAAATAATGGCTTTCTATGATTTCCTTATGTTTCTCCTTATAAATTCATTATTTAAATGTTCCCTGCTTGAACAAGACTTTTTTCCAATAAGATTCCATGGCTAAGCTTGCATTAGAACTAATTTTCTTGCACTAACATTTTCACAATTTCTGAAAGCTGTTATTATTGTATTCAATTTTGCTTTTTAAAAAGTCTAATTGTACATAGTCAATTTGCTTTCTCTTTTGATTTGAGGTTCTTAGGTTACTTGAGCATGTAAGAAAATATAACTCAGAGATATTTATATCAGAGGCAATCAAATCAATCCCAACTTAGCCCCAAATAATTTTGATACCTTTCAAGGAAAATGGCTTTGCAGAAGTTTTAATAGCATAAAAACTATAATGATACTTGCCTTAGGAGCTGAAATTTTTACAGGTTGATTTCAGAGATCAAGGAAAACATTTTTTCCCAAGAATTTGGTAGCAGTTAGGTCAAAGGAATGAATTTTTTCATTACCCCATACTTTACTTTCTTGAATAACCTTCACAATGCACCTAGTCTTAGTCTCAAACTCAAAATAGGTAGTGTGTCAGGAAACAAAATGTAACCTGGAGTTTCAATATCCAGCTGTGTGTGTTCTGACTTGGAAATCATTGCCAGATATTAGCGGCTCAGAAATGAGAGCAAAGCTTGGAGGTTTGTTAGTGATAGACAGGCTAGAGCACAGATGCCTAGCCGATAGCCAAAGCAGAAATGTTCCTTTTACAGTGGCAGGGAAGAATCATCAGCAAAATAAGTGAGATGAGTAAGTAGAGAAATCCATCTAGCGTGATTTGCAAAATAAAGGGCTAATGAAATTTTATGCTGCACAGTTAATTTCAGGGTAAGAGTAAGGGTCCACAACCATGTTCTGTCATTTTTTGGTCATACCACACTTAGATAGGATGCCCCTTTTAGAGCACAGACTGTTAGCTGGT